AAGCGTGCTAGTCAAGTTTAGTTGAATTGTTAGCTGGTTGGCTGATTCCATACTTAGAGATGGATGGATGGTTAGACGGATGGATGGTTGGATGGATAGATGCCATGGTTTAAATGGTGTTTTGTAAACAAGAATTAGCAGCGCGTGCTAAAACCTTAAAAAAACTAAAACAAAAACAACACAATGCCAGAAACTTACACATACCAACGCCTTACATACCCATACACATGAAACATAACATTAGAAGAGTAGATTGCAATGAAATGAAAACCCAAGGTGTGATTTTCTTCACACTAGTCCATATTTAGTGAGTTAAGACTTTCGGTTCCAATATTCGAAACGTAGCAAAAATTTGGTAAATCTGCCAAAAAGGAAGGAGATTTTGTGTATAAAGGAAACTAGTTTTCTGGAAAAGAAGGAAGCTCAAAGAGGCAAATATCTCTATTTCGACAGCCCTCTCTATCCGGCAAAAAAAATCTCATTATCAAATAATGGGTTTAATATGTACACTTTGGTATCACTACTTGCAATACAGCCTACTGAGCTCTCATTTTAGTATGGTCATGCCACAGGAAGTAAGAACTTACCCAACTGCTACCCAGAGCTTATTGAAAACTAAGAACACCAGAGTTAAATTCGTGAGCAATTTCACCACACTACAATATAAACCACACCATATTATTATGGTTATTACTATTTGTCATTCTTCGAAATATTCTTCTTCGGAGACCCCATAAAATGTTTGTCCTATTTTACTTAAAAAATTCAAATTCATTTCAAATTTTAAATTTCTTTTCTCCCCAACCCATTGTGCAAATTAAAAAAAAGCACAACTCCCTCAAGAAAAAAATGAGAATTTACTCTCATCAGTGTGTGTGTGTGTGCGTGCTGGATCATTATAAACCGTTGTAGAGTGTGTTTTCGCTTTGTATGCCATGTGCGCAACGTCATCTCATGAAGAAGCAAATACAATATGGCATGTGCGCAAGCGTGCTGGCTGCTTACATTTCGCCTCTAAGCTTACACATTGGCTCGAGTCATCGTCATTCATCGTCTGTGTAGATACTATCCAGCCTACACACACACACACACACATTGGCCTTAGTTGTTAAATTTTTTCTTTATAAAATTGAATACAAAAAAACACAAACAAAACGGCTAATAATATTCCCCTCCTTCAATTTTGTGAACAAAAAAGAACCGTCAGCTCAATGTTATACGAAGAACACGTACATACATATATCTCAACACATCTACTTAAATTTCTGTAAGCTTTGCCATGGTTTTCGGGGTACATGTAATTACAATCATTATATGGTCTGTCGCGTTTTGTTTCTGCAGCGGCAGCAGCAGCAGCAGCCTCGTCCACCAGTTATTGCAAGCTCCAGCAACTAAAGTGCACTTTAGCTTCTTTGTTGTACTTTCCACTCTTGTTAATGCAGTCGGCCAGTTTGGATTAAACTCGGTGCACCCCAAAGACAAGTTATTGCGGGGACTGAGAAATGTACGCAAAAAAATTAAATTAAATTCATATTCAATTTAATTTAACAACAATGTTGTATTGTGCAGTAATTATGATTTACTAAATAATTCATATTAAAGAGAAAAAAAAAATACATGAGCTTATTGACGTGATTAAAATCGAAAATAGTCAGCATTTAGATTTGTCAACAAAGAACTTAATTCAGTATCAAAAAGTGTAAAGATAATGTCAGAAATGCACATTGGGCGCCATTTATTGGTCTTTTATGACCAGACGACCGGAGAGCTTTTTGTTTACTCCTCGTTGGGCGCCATTGTGTGTAAAGAGAAGGTTGTGTTCGTAATGCACGTTGGTCGCCATTTATTTGGTATTTTTTTAAAATAAAATTATGGTCGGACGTCCTGAGAGGATTTTTGCTTAGTCCTCCTTGGGCGCCATTTAATGTAAACGCAATAAGTATAATTGCAATGCCCAAAATGCACATTGGGCGCCATGCATTGTGTAGTTTTTTTGATACAATTTTGGGCGGACGTCCTGAGAAGATTTTTTCTTAGTCCTCCTTGGGCGCCATATAATGTAAAGTCAATAAGTGTAATGACAATATCCGAAATTCACGTTGGGCGCCATTTATTGTGTAGTTGTTTTTCTAATACAATTATGGCCGGACGTCCTGAGAGGATGTTTGATTAGACCTCCTTGGGCGCCATATAATGTAAAGACTATAAGTGTAATTGCAATGTTCAAAATGCACGTTGGGCGCCATTTATTTGGTAGTTTTATTTTAATACATGTATGACCGCATGTCCTGAGAGGATTATTAGTGCTTCGTTGTTGATATAAATTGTATAAATCCACCCGTGGAGCCATTTTGACCGGCCTTTCCAAGACGAATTTTTGTCCTTACGTTGGGCGCCATTCAGATGAAATTGTGAATCAATTATTTATAAGAGTTTTTATACCAGCATTGGGCGCCATTTGTCGTAAAAGATATTTTTCACAATTTTCTTTTTTAATTTGTCAAAAAGACCTCTTTTTTAAAAATCCAAAAACCACATATATCGTTTTTATAAATCCACTTTGGGCGCCATTCCATTTTGATTTTATTTTTGTTTTGTCGATATCACGAAATGTTTTAGCACTTTTTTGATACGCTTTTCTTACTAGAGATGACATTTTGTCCAGTGAGCTAGCCAAAAATTAATTTTCTTATATGATGGTGTCCTGAGGCCCAGTTATTAAACTCGCGTTGGGCGCCATTCATTGCAAAAACTGTACTTCTAAATAGACATTTAATAAGCATATGATAGGGTTATTTTTTGCTGTTGCAATATACTTAGGCTTAATCTCATAATTCTTCTTGTTATAAAACAAATGTTTGTTTTTTTAAGTGGAGAAAGATGGAAATAGGGCAGGGAATAACTATGGTTTCAGAAAGAGCCATCAATCCTCATAAGTTTCCTTGGTTTTTGTTTGGTTCCTCAATAGAAGCGAAACCAAAGAATTGAATTGAACTCAGATTCTTTTGGGATTTCTTCCAAGCCTTCGTTCGTTTAACTGGGCGACATAGAAAACAATTTCCGAATACGTTGGTTTCATGTGGTAGTTTTGTTAAACTCACGTTGGGCGCCATCCATTGCAAAAAAAACTGTACTAAATAGACATTTAACTAGGATTTCATAATTCACATTGGGTGCCATTCTCTGAATACTTCGTGGTAGTACTTTTTCATAAAAAAAATTATTTAGCATAGCTGCATTCGAACCACCCCAATAAAATTATATTTCGCAAAAAAAATATTTCGAATTGTGCACTTTTTTGTTCCACCTCAATACCTCGTTTATGCATTTACATTTTCCCAAATCGAATCACCTGATTTTACAAACAAATCCCCAGAGCGATAATTTCAAAAAAAGCACACTTTCATACACACTCACACACAAGTTGTAGATCTTGTCATTGATGATTTTTCTTAAAATGAAGAGGGTGGTTTCAATTTCTCATGTACCCTTCAAGGCTATGTCTGGTTGTGGTTATCACAAAAGTTTCCTGTTTTTTTTTGTATTTATTTTAAATTGGGATGCATTCAAAGAGAAGGTATCCAAAACCGTGGGAGCGTAATCAATATCAGTACCTCTAGAATGTCTTTTCAGGTTAATTCACTGGTTTTTCTGGTTCCTGGCTAAAGTTTTGTGGCTTTTATGGGAAGCGTGGAATTTGATTTGGCCATGGCTGGCTGCTTGGCAACGTCATCGTCATCTTCGTCGTCATGGCCAAGAACAACAACCATAGTTGACACTTGTTGTTTTATGGCTTTTAAAAAGGTTCTGACACATTTTAGCATATTTTTGCTCTTAACGCCCGCATATTTAGTTATGGCCACAAACATGAAAATTTGATGCCAAAAATCGCACGCACACACACACTGACACAAATTTGCATGCATCCACACACACACACACAAAACTAAAATCACCTGTGGCCTATAAATTTCTTGTAGTTTATGTCGCTGAGCATAAAAAAAGAAAAGAGAAACCAGAACCTTGGCCAATATGCAAAATGCCTATGTGAGGTGGTGGTGGAGATGCTGCTGCGTATCTTCAAGACATTTTCTGTTTTTTTTCTCCATTGGACCAATGATGGATCACCGTAGATAAGCAGATTCGTCTTCATTTTTTCAGAAGGTTTTTTTGTTTTTAGTTTTTTTTTATGACTATTGTTAGCATTTCTTTGGGACTTTGGATGGCTTTAGAAAGAACATGGTTTGGTTGGTTGGATATTTGGGTTCTTGTGCGATGTGCGTGCATATAATCGCATCAAGTCATATGACAGACGTCTGTTGTTTGGCTGTGTGGCAACTTAAGTATGACAATCTATGGCTAAGGCTCAAAAGTCACTGGTGGCGGTGTAGTGGTGTATTTGTGGGTTATGTGAATACAACTGTGACGGTATCAAAAGGCTTAAAGCGCATGTCATCAGGCATAAAAACATGTATATATATGTGGCCGGACGACAGTGACCACTACGGGAAACCAACTTACGAAGTATGCAACAAGTTGCAAGAGTTTGTTGGAAATGGTAAATATGAGATGACGATGGTGGCCTCAACCACTTTTCCACCATCTGCAGCAGCTTGTGCTCAGCGTTATTATGTGCCAAAGACAGGCCAGAGACAAAACTGTTGTTATTGTTGTGGTTTTTTCTGTGCTTAGAATTGAGTTGACGAAGAAGCATTTTGTAGACTCAACATGACGTATGTCATTTTACACATGCAACCTCTGCATTAAAGGTGTTGCTGCAAATGTCTCGTCTGTTGTTGTTGTACCGCTTTCATGAGAGCTTACATTTGAAATTGAAAAAAGTATATATCTGTATGTATGTGTGCATCCATAAATATCTTGGGTTGTCAGGTGATTTCAATGTGCATGACTAATAATTGAGGGGGTGTTGTAGGCAAAAATTTTATTGAATTTATTTACGATTTTACTAATTTTTCTTTATTTTTTTTTTTTTATTTCAGATTTTATCAACTCTTTAGAAATGTTAAACAGATAGAACCGACGACATTAAGGTAAGAATTTGCTTTACTTTTCTAGGGTTTTATGCAAATAATATAAAGTCAGTCTCATTTCGAATAAACATATCCAATTCTGCATTCTTCGTAATTTTGAAAAAAAAATATGATTGTTTCATGATAAACTCACATTGGGCGCCATTAATTTTTTAGGTTTACTTGTATTACTTTTTTTTTTGTTTTGTCTTAGAAAATCTTACGGAGCAAAGCCGAGTTAGAATTATTCCCTTAAGATTTATAATTTGGACCTTCAATGCAAAAAAGGATAATGCGAGATGTGCAATTTTTCGTTCACCCTAATATCAGGATGTACCATTTTCGGAGGTTGAAGGAAATACATGGATCTACTTTCATCATTTTTTGCGAGGAGTAAACCCACCAACTCAGAAGCTTTAATCTTAATTACAGCTGATTTAGTTGAACATTGACCCAGAGTCCTCACAAAAATAATAGAAATTAGACCTAGATTATTTATTTATTTATTTTTTTATGAGTTAAAATGCCCACAGGGAACCAGAAATAATTATTAAAGGCTGGTTTGGATGTCAATTGGGGGCTAGTAAAAGTGGACCTGTATTGCAAATTTCTTGCGAGGAGTAAATGGCTGATTTGGTTGGAAATAAGAGCTTCTAAAACGCCGAAAGTCAAAGGGATGTGTATCATTTTTTGATAACAAGAAAGAGAGAGAGAGAGAGAAATAGAAAGAGAAAATCAAATTTCAGCAGACTTGTGGGGAAATTAGGACCGGGAACCTATCAAAATACCAGAAATCAAGAGCTACAGTTATGGTTATATGATATTGCTGTAGCAAGAAGTGGGTCTACATTGAACGCTTCTGGTGAGGAGTAAATCTACCCACTGTGTGCCCGTGATGTCAATTTATAGCTGATTTTGTTGGAAATTGAGTCACAAACCTCCAAGGTACCGAAAGTCTGCGATTAATATTAAATTCCAGCCGATTTCTCTGAAAGTTGAGTGAAAATCTCCGATATTCTGGAAATCAGGAGTTATCGGTATATTAAGGCTTCACAGCAATTACACGTGATTTAGCTTGAAATTGGGGCATACCCCTCCAAATCCCTGAAACTAAGGAGAAAACGTTGTAAGAGGCCTCTACCTAAACGTTCCGTTTCCAATCCAAGTAACAACACGGAAGCATGTGCAATACTTCAAACCTTTGCCTCCTTGGGCAGCATTAAAATATACCATTTTTTTTAAAGATAGTTCATAAGAATTTTTAAACCTCACGTTGGGCCTCACCTCACGTTCTGTAAAAATCATCGAAGTTACAAAAATCTCATCGTTGGTCAATTTGTATTCAGCTGATGAAAATATTGAAAACCACCGTTGGGCGCCATTTTCTGTAACTGATTTGATTGGAAGTTGAGGCAAAAATCTTCAAAATACGGATTGTCAAGAAGCTCTTACTTACAGTTGATTCGGTTGGGAATTGTGGCAGAAACTTATTAAAAACCGAAGATCAGGTGGAACCGTTTTATGAGGCATCTAACTAAACGTTCCCACCTCTGGGCGCCATTCAAATGCAATTTTGTAATGGAAAGCTCATTAGAATTTTCAAAGCTCCCCGTCAAGAGATACCATTATATGGGGCTATACCTGAAAGTGACTTTAAGTTTAAAATTTCTTGTGAGTAGGTAATTTGTCTGCAAGGAGCCCGTAATTGATTAAGAGGAACCTTTTTATTAGGTCTCTATCTAAATGTTCCCTTTCCAATCCTGGTGGCAACATCAATGCAAGTGCAATATTTCAAACAGCTATCTCGTTGGGCGCCATTCAGATACAATTTTTTAAAAGACAGCTCATAAGATTGTTTTCTACACCCCGTTAGGCGCCATTTTACGAAAATCTCAGCGAGGTTACAGAAATCTTAGCATAGGTAAATTTGTATTTAGCTCATAAGAATTTTTAAAACCCCCGTTGGGCGCCATTTTCCCTAACAATTAATGAGTGCACAAAAATTAATAGTCATTTCATCTTTAGGGGAAATCTGCAGACAATAATTTTTTACTTATAAAACTTAATTCTGAGTAAAAACAAAATACTGCAAACCAACTTTTCTAAGTAATCGACGGAATACACATACATTTGAACTGAATTCATTTCAGTTGAACATTTTTCACCGAGCTGCACAAAAATTTACCTATGGATGGGAATTCCAATGGCATAACTTTTACCGAAAATTCCATTTCATTGTTAAAAATTATACTCAGCTTCTTTCAAATATTAAAAAAAAAAAAAAATAAATAAAAAATATTTTTTTTTGTACTAAAAATTGTAAAATCTTAATGCAAAGAATTAAATTTCATTCAATAATCTCGCAAGACGTTTTCCACCATTTTCATAATTTGGCCTCAAAACCTGTAAAAAACTGTTAAATAGGCGATTTACAATGTTGATTCATAACAATGCTTAACAAAATTGTTTTTTTTTTTAGATTTCAATACATTTCTTGGTGCAAAACCATAAACTGTAACATCACATAAACAGCTTGCAGTTTTCAATGTTCTTTGTTATAGTTTCGTTTTTTCTTCTTTCACTTTTCTTTTTTTTCTTCTCGAAAAATTTAAGTATTTCATTCAATTTTATTTAAAATTTAGTTCAGGTTTTTTTTATATAAGGCGCCATAAATTTCGAAATTTTTTCTCCCTTAATTGAGCACGAATTTTGCTCATAACTGCAATGTTAACAATTTTCTTGAATGGTGTTTCGAACCGAAAAAGAAAAACAAAAACAGCATTTAAAGCAACATTTAAAGTCTTATGCTTTGAATTTTTTGCCTTACTTTCATAGCTCGATCTGTGATTATGAATGGAAACAATTTAGTCAGTCAGTGGTGCTAAGAACAAGAAGACCTAACAGAAAATGAAAAAAATGTATTTAGCATTTGGAAGAAATATAAAAAACACAAAAAACTGTCATTGTGTTTATTAAACAAAACACTCTGGTCGATTAAAGAAATTAAGTTATCAAAGAAAAAAAAAAGAGTCATAAAAAAGAAATAGCAATTTTTTTTCTTGGCACATTAAAGCTGAGCTAATTTGATTTTTATTATGGTTCTGGTTGTGCATACATATTTAAATTTGTTTGCAAATAAAAAAAATTAAAATAATAAAATATAATTTGATGATTGAGAGAAAAAACTGTATTTGTTTTAAAAAATATTTTTGTTTTTTTAGATTGACCTTAAAATCAGTTTTTGCCAGATTTTATTTTTTGCAATTGTTTTTGAATTGTCCAAAGTCATTACAATCAAAAATTTCTTAATTTTTTTGCAATATCTTCCATATAAAAACTTCAAAACAGCAGCAATTTTTCCTATGACTTGTTGAATGATGAAAATAGAAAAAAAAAAAAACAAAATCATTTTTGCTATGACAAAAGTGGCAATCTGTCCGAAACGTTCAACGTATTTGTTCTGAGCTTTCAATGGCATTTTGGGGTTTTTAGTTTTGTTCTAAAACCAGCAATGGCCAAACGATTTGCTTTTCTATTTTTTTTTTACTTAAAGCAAAAAATAAAATAAAAATTCACCTGTATTTGAAACTTCAATGTCTACGACACGTTGTAAGCTTCACAAACATACAGACACATATGACAAATATTGAGAATGCAAGCACTCACACACACATACATACACACGCAGTTCTAAATCCACTGCGCAAGCATTTAATGCAATTCCTTAGTGGCCTAAAATAGAAGGTCGTCGTTGTTTGCCATTTTTAGATGGAAACGTTGCAACCATATCGGCAGCAACAAACGCACACACTTGACGCAAATGCAAAAGGCAACAATGATCAGTGATGGAGAAAAAAAAACAAAAACAATTGACTCCTGCGCCTCCCATGCAACCAAGCAATCTCTAGACAATTTTTGGAGTATGACTGCATCGCCTGCAACGCATTTGCCAGAGACAAAAGATTTAAGCAACGAACTTTAGATGATCAAATGTGAACTTGCTAAAAAAAAACACCACCACTAACACCAACAACAAGAAAATCTACGCATTTACAACAACCATAATAACAAACTAAGCAAATAAACCATTCAAAAACTATGAGTGAGGCTGTGCAAGGCAGGCAGGCGGACAGAGAGACGGTGAGACATTCGGGCGTACAAATGAACGAACGACGGGCAGACGACATACTGCTCACCAGACGAACATTATCGTATATATTTATTGCAAACGCATTGACTTGACTTGGTAAGACAAGCATATATGATCGATCTTGACGTTTTTTTTTTTTTGTATTGCTGTTGTTGTTGTTTTTTTATTGTTGGAGGAGATTTGCAACAAAATTTTTTGGGGAAGCAATCCCTCCATACCTAATGGACAGCAGTACATATTGGTCAAAATCAACTTTTTAGAGAGAGAGATGGAGAGAGATCAAGAGTTGGAAAAAATTGATTATTTCCTTCAAAGAAAAATAACATATTTCTCTCATTATCAAGTAATGAGAAGAGGTGACACAGAGTTTCTTAACCGGATCACATTATGCATTCGGCAAAAATTTGACATTCATGCGTGCCACTTTCAGCAAAAGTAGGCAAAAAAACAAACTAAATAGCCTCTACATTACCAGGAAGAGAGAGGGGTGAGAGAGGATACTTTTTGGTAGCATTATAAGGTAATGTAAACAAACTTACTTCGGCATTACAAACAGATTGCAAATAATAGTAATTTCTTTTAAAAAATTACAAAGAAAAATAATTTATTTTCCTCATTACCATGTAATGAGTAAAGGTGACATTCATACGTGCCACATATTACCAGTAATGTTAACTCTTTATGCTCTACGAAAATAATGTCATCTACATGGCCTCTGCATTACCAGAGAAAGAGAATAAATTATGGGAGCTCTATGAGTCAAATAACCCATTACAAGGTAATGTAAGCAAACACTACCTTCGGCAATAAAAAAAATAATGGATTATTTCATAAAAATTGGAAAAAAACCTCATTAGCAAGTAATGTGTAA